AATATTATTAAGATTATTAAAACGCAGCTTTTCTTCTTATATAAATGTGTTTGGTGAGGCTTATAAATTGCAATTAGAGAATGAAACATAAAGAATGCCACAATTAATATACTATAATTATTTACTTGGGAGGGATCTCTGGAGCTGGATGTCTTAATGGAGAGATGGGCTGGAGAGCATATAGATGAAGGAGAAGAAATAAATGACATCGATTGAGATAAGGTTCTAGCCTGATCCGTTGCTAAGAGGCGTTCAGGTGGTTTCTGGCCTTTACACTTCATCCCCGACTCCTGACTACTGTCTGACTTATCCCTCTCCCCATCATTCTCCTCTATGGAGATGGCTGGAGAAGTTTCATTTATGCAAATGCATTTCTGTTGGGCAAGCGGTATAAAGAATTCGTTGGCAAAAGCCTCCATACGAGAATGATGGCGGTGAGCCAGAGAGATTTCATCCATACAATCTCCTGTCTCTTTTATGTCAGCCCCTAGTGAGACGTCTTTTCCATGGTCATCAGCGTTATCAATCGTCAGTTTTTTTGGCTCAGATACGCATGATGCTCTAGAAGACTGAAAAATGACTCCTATTCGTGCATTGGCTGCGACTGCATAAGTTGGCGGTCGGTGTCGCCGTGACTTAGCAACGGCTAATTTGTGGCGAGCGGCATTAGAAGGAACTTGACAGGAGTTATCTGTATAAGACGAAAATATGAAATAATAAAAACAAAGCAAGGAAAATTAAGGAAATAGAATGCATATCAAGCATTAAAAATAAGAAGTGAAATGGCATAATGATGAATCAAGAGAATAAAAATGGGTAAAATCAAGATCCCAAAGATCCGATCTACCTGGTATTGCCGAAATACTCGAAGCTAGCATTGTAGCCGCTGAATTAGGACGAACTGAGACCTGGTGCTGCCAAGGAATATGAAGATTACCCATATTTGCACTTGCCAGTAGACTACCACTGGTCGGGCCAGTGCCGCAGAGAAGAGAATCTGAAGATATAAGACTGCCGGAACTACTCGTAATCGTATCGCCGGTGCCTACATTTAGCCCGATTCCAGGACTAACGAGTTCTAGGTGTTGCCGTGCGTTACCCAGGGCTGAATCCTCCATCGTAAGTTGACGCCCGCGTACTTTAGAGGCCAGTTCCTGCTGTATAGTGGAATCGAAAAAGTATTAAAGATCAGGAGTTGGAGAATTTAGGTGAACGAACCATAGGATGTATAAGCGTAGATATGAAAACTAAGAGATTGTGGCTCCTATTTTGATCGAAGTCTCCTTTTGCTGACGAACATCATCATAGCTGGGACTTAATCCTGCAAAAGTCTCAAGTTAACACCGACTCTAGCTTAAACGCTAAATAGACTCACAATGAAGAATATTTAGATATAGAATATTTGATTAATATTCTAATACTAGAGCGTGTGTATGTGCTGACATGTGTAATCAATACCGTCCATAACTCAGAGGAATTAGTAAAAAGCTTAACATCAGCCCCGTCTTATCAAGGCTTAATGACCCTAGGAAAAGCATGAACAAGATTGTGTAATCCCGTGGGTAACTCTGGTTGAATTGATGAGATGTAAGCCTTTACATGAGAAAGTCAGGTTGTGAAATCCATGAGATCCCGCTAGGTTGGTGTCATAAATGTTTAATGACCCATGGATAAGTATGACTGGGATTGCATATCATACATGCCTATTGAACGAGTGTAAATTCGGTGGACAAGTTGAGCCGCCTTTTTTCGACAGCGGCTTAACGCCCTCTTAATCAATCTTACAATCAAGCAAAAACAAAATTCAATCAATGACGTTGGAGTGCCTTTCATTTCGTTTGAAGAGGCGAGTGGAAGAGATTCGTAAGTTGGTTCCATCGGAGGCTGTGGAGGGGTCGCCTTGGAGCTGCGGTTGTAGATTTGTGCGAATAGGTCTTCGGCGCACCACCCTGCGGCCCCGATGAATCCTTGCTGAGCTTTCGTCCATAATGTGGCAGGAATCATTAGAGCAAGACACCATGGTTGACGATGATTCGCCAAAACACGAAGGCAATAAAGATGGCCGGTTTCAAACCGACTTCCTTTTTATAGTCCAATTTGGTCAATTTAGGCATATCATGTTTTGGTTGGATGTCCTATGCTTTGCCTCTATATTTGCTCATAAGTTAAGCTAAGTGGCTGAGAATGACATTTGAAGTGGCTACAGATGAAGCGTGAAGCACGAAGTTAAGTAAAGGGAGAATAATGATACTGACCAACCTTGAGATGAACTGTACATATTTTGGCTTTATGGTAAACTGTACGAAAAAACACG